AGCCTTAGTTGTCTCAAGAGTGTGCCCCCACAGAAAATTTCTATTAATATGGTCCAACTTATTACGAACAGAAGTGGGCAATGGGGGCTGTTTGGAGAAGAGTAATTCTACTAGGCATAGAGGGAGTGTTGCTCTTCCAAGAAGAAAGTCTTTTCTGCACTTTATCAATGAGCTCTTTGTGGAAAATGATAGGGAGAATATGTTTTCTCATTATGTTTTGTTTACAAGATTACAAAGGAATATAAGCATAAGCTGGGGAAGGCTAATATCCACTGGCCAGGTTAAGAACCATTGGCCAGTCTAAGAGCTGTTGGCCAATAAACCACAACCTTAACTTTAATCCCTAATTATAGGAAAACTCTAATTAGAAGTAACAAGATCAAGCCACCCTAAATTAAGGGAAACAAATGTGTAAATGAGACAACCACCAATAGCCAATCACAACTAGCAGCCACCAAGCTAATCACAGCTAGCAGCCACCAAGCTAATCATAGCTAGCAGCCACCAGTACTTCCAATACTCCCCCTCAAGCTGGATCAAAGAGATTAATTGATCCAAGTTTGGAGAGCAAGTGTTGTAACTGAGTGGAAGCAAGAGACTTAGTGAAAACGTCAGCAAGTTGATCATGGCTCCAAGTGAATGTGGTTTGAATTACCTTGGACTGAACTTGTTCACGAACATAGTGACAGTCAACTTCAATGTGTTTGGTGCGTTCATGGAACACAGGATTGATGGAAATATGCATAGCTACCTGATTGTCACAAAAAAGAGACATAGGTTTGTTGCTTGAAAAACCCAAGTCTGAGATAAGGCCCTTGAGCCAAATGAGTTCACAAGTAGTGGAAGCCATGGCCCTATACTCAGTTTCGGCACTTGAGCCTGCAATTACATTTTGCTTTTTGCTCTTCCATGTCACGATGTTTCCTCCAACAAACGTGTAGTAGCCAGTAGTGGATTTTCTATCAATAGCATTCCCTGCCCGGTCAGCATCGATGTATGCCATGATTTGAGTATGACCATTGTTCTTCATGATAATTCCCTAACCAATGTAGCCCTTGAGGTATCTTAGAATCCTTTTAACAACATTTAAATGAGCCTCAGTGGGTGCATGCATGAATTGGCTTACAAGACTGACGGCGTAAGTTATATCCGGTATAGTAATGGTGAGATATATAAGCTTACCCACCAGTCTTTGGTAGTAACTTATATCGTCGAGAGGTTCTCCTTCCAAGTCCAACTTCAATTTGCTATCAAGAGGGGTACGAGCCAGTTTGCAATCCATCATCTTCACTTCTTGAAGCAAGTCAATCACATATTTCCTTTGACTTAAAAACAATCCCTTGGGAGAAGTAGCCATTTCAATCCCAAGGAAGTATTTTAACACTCCTAAGTCTTTAATGGAAAATTTCTGATGAAGAGAATTCTTAGGAGTGTTAATCTCATCAATATTATCACCTGTGATGATGGTATCATCAATATAGATTAGAACAACTAATTTGCCAATTGATCCAGTTCGAACAAACAAGGATGAATCAGCATGACTTCTCTTGAAACCAAA